ACTATTAAAAAAGTTGTGGTTATTTAAAAAAATTAAAAAAAAGAGTTTTTGTGCCTTCAATATCTAGCTGTGTATTTAGATTAATACAAAACCCCGATGAGGTTCCCTCCGAAATATTGTTCTCTTTAAGTTTTATTATAGGTATTTTTACTCTAAAACCACTTTTTGATGCCGATTCGTTTGTTTTCCGTGGACGTAATTTGCTATGTTACGCGTTTGTAAGACGGAGACAACACATGCGGGTGTGGCGTCCTCTTAAACAGGCACACAGCAGAAATGCAAAAGCTTGTTTTTTGCTCCCAAGGCGTCGAAATCTTAAATATAGGTACTGTCTTACCTGTGTCTGTAACCTTTATAGCTTAGAATATGCTAGATGGAACTATGTCTATAGAATTGTCCATTAGATGTTTCAATGTTGGCAATAATTGTAATTTTTTTTTTTTTTATTGCTGAAGCCCGGCAACTGTGGCTATAACAATTTTTCAAACAATTTTTTTAACGTTTAGAGGATTGTTAGTAATTTATTTTACGTAGGTATAAACTTTCAAACTCTACTAAACAGTGTTTCGAAATACGACTGTGTTATTTTGCTCTTTGTCACATAAATATATTGTTCTCCTAAATAACATAAAATGTCCTATAAATTGATTATTTTATTTATCAGTTTTAGCTGTACCTATCTATTATAATATAACGCACTATATATGCACTAGGGTGGTCCTTATTTATAGAGGTAAGAAAAAAATATTTATATTTTTAATGTAGGACCCCCTCACTTTTTTCATTGCTATAAGAAAATAATTTTGGTTAAATTTGGTTATGACTACTCACCCCCTTCCCGTGCCCCTGGGGGGTTGAAAAATAGCCAAAAAGGGTAGTTTAGTTGTTTATTTTACATAACTAAAAAAGTATGATACTTAGCGAAAAAATGTATAGAACTTAAACTGTAGAACACAATAGTTTCAATAATAAGCTTAAGTATTAATTATTGAAAGTTTATTATTTTTAAAGAAAAATAATAAAGTACAACTTTTAACTACCTACTAATAGATCTGAGATGATAAAATAAGTTGATTATATACGTATTTCTCAGTTACTGTGGAGTGTATGTTAGTACCTGGAAGCACTATTGAATACTACCCATTGAATAACCTGGAAGCAAATTACTGTCCAATATACAAGTATTAAGAACTTTATTTTTCAATCTACGCATTGTAAAACTTAGCGTCAGAGATAGTGCAAAGCTTGTTATGAAAGAAGTGTTGATATTTTGGAAAAAGCTCGAATACCAACTAAAAGTGACAGTTCATATTCTAGTAGCACTTTCTGAATATTTAGGACATGATATAAACGATCTAATAATTAATAGATCGTCTATTTGTCGTTGTCGGATGAGCAAGATAGAGCCGCTTTATCAAAAACAAATTTAAAGAAACAAATTTAAATGCTGCTGTTTTACACTGGGATGTTAAACTACTTACACTACTTCCAGCTCTAATAGGTAAGAATATTGTTGACAGACTTGCTGTGAGGAGATAACGTGTGGAGATGTAGAGAAAATCGTTGCAATACCAGAGTTAGAATGTGGTACAGGAAAAGAGCAGTCATCTGCAATTTATGACACATTATTAAATTGGGATTTTCAAAAATCAATAAAAGCATTAAGTTTCGATACGACTGCTGTAAACACTGGTCGACCACGCAAGGTGGATGGCTAAGGCAATATATTGTCTAAAAATATATTTATTTCGCTATGAATTTAAATTAACCAAAGCAGAAGAGGAAGGGCTATGTGACATTTCAATATTTTTGGTATTTGTATATATTGAAGCATGGTTTAATGCAACTTTAGCTTCAAATGCACCTTACCATGATCTTAGTTTTATTAAAAAACTTTATAACTACAAAACAATTGATGAAAGTATATCAAGAGTTTCGTTTAATAAATTTAAAAATCATTTGTGGTATTTATGTCTTGAATCGGTTGCCTTAGCTTTTTTTGATATCAATATATCGGTTGAAATAAAAAAAATAAATGTTTAATAATCTTAAACTTGAAAAAAAACCACTTGGAACATATAAACATGCTGATTTTATGAAGTCTGAAATTGAAAACTTTATATCAAGTGAAACCAGTGAATTTTTTAATAGATTCAATTTCGATATAAGTTTCCTTCAACAAGATCCTTCTACTTGGACTGTTGACAAATCATATCTAAATGCATTAGAGGTTGTAAATAAACTACATGTTGTAAATGATGCTGCGGAAAGAGGTATAAAACTCATTGAAGACTACAACAATTTACTAACAAAAAATGAAAAACAAAAACAGTTAGTCCTGCAAGTAGTTAGTGACTATCGTAGAAATTATCCAGATTGCAAAAAAAAATAACTTGAAAAAACCATTTTAAATTTATTAATAAGATTGTTAAAATTTACATAAATAGTAATAATAATTAGTTTGATATTTATTGAAGTACTAAGTGTGCATTTATATTAAAATGTTCTAATTTAGTTTTAATTATCATATAACCATTTTTTTTTATTTTTTTTTTTATATATTATGACAAATTACTGTTTTTTTTTAGCTTAATATTTTATAAATCTGACTCAAACAATGGAATGAATGATCTAATGAAGATTTTACGCATACATTTTTTGTTAGAAAATATAGTTTCATAATTTTTATACAAACATTTTGATTATAACTCCACCCATTCAATAAATATGTTTAAATAACTACAAATTATCAATTTAGTCAAAAAAATTAAAAAAGTTGTACTTTATTATTTTTCTTGAAAAATAATAAACTTTCAATATTTTATACTTAAGCTTATTATTGAAACTATTGCGTTCTACAATTTAAGCTCTATACATTTTTTCGCTAAGTATCATACTTTTTTAGCTAAGTAAAAAAACAACAAAACTACCCTTTTGGGCTATTTTTCAACCCCCCAGGGGCACGGGAAGGGGGTGAGTAGTCATGACCAAATTTAACCAAAATTATCATCTTATAACAATAAAAAAAGTTAGGGGGTCCTACATCAACAATTAGAATGTTCAAAAATAAGGACCACCCTAATATGCACTCTTGAATCATGAATATGAATATTGACTAATAATAATAATAGTTTTCCATAACACAATATTTGAGTTAGTACAGAATTGAAATAGGACTTAAGTACATTATGTGTTTTGTTGAACGGTAGATAATATTATATGGTTGTATACTATGTCAACATTAAAATTGAAAGATGATTCTGATCGCTGTTTACTCGAACATTTTTTTTTAAACATGCTTACCTGGTATGTACTTACATTTATTCCTGAAATAAATTAAAAAATATTTTTAAAACTTACTACACAATCCGTAAGTGTTTCAATCTATTTAATTTTAAATCTATAGAAAAATATCGCTTTGACAGTAAACACTCATTTTCCGAAAAGTATTTTCAGCCTATGAAAAAAAAATTATACTTTTTTATCGTTGTTGTTTAAGTTTTCACATTTTTTAACCTTTTTTATTTCATATTCGGATATTCCGATAAAGAACATTTTTCCGAGAATTTTTATTTATAAAACTCAAACTTTTCACAAGCAGTTTATTTGTTATAACTTATAAAAGTATTTAAACTTTAAACTTTAGATGAGAGGAGTAAAGAGACACAAGACTACGCTCATAAAAACTTTAAATAATTATTACTTAAAATAACTTAATTACCCAAGAAATTCTAATACATAACACGTAAATTCTCAGTAAAATATTTTGCGAATATAATTCTATGAAATTTGAAATGGTATTTATCATACAAACAAATTGAAACTTCAAAAATATTTTTTAAAACGTTACCTAATACTTTTTGAGACAATGAGATGATGTATATTGTTGAAAGAATCATCCAGTAAAATATAGAACATTATTCTGTTATTTTACTCATGGATACCTACTGTTTAAGTTTTCAAAAAGAAACAATAATTACTCAACATTTTAGTAAGCCACTAATAATGTTGATATTGATAACATTTTTGAATGAAATACATTTCAAAACCTTTTATTGAATTAAATAATTTATTTTTATTAATATATAAAAATATAAAATTATTTAAAAACCTATCTATAGGTAAAATGTTACTGTCTTAAAATATGTTGACGTATGACGTACACTACACAGTTCAAAATATGTTATAATTTCTGTAGAAATTAATAATATTATAATTATCTTGTGCCGTCTACACAATAAATGATTTTATGGCTAGATTGAACTGTGGAATTTATATAAGAATTAATAGACATAATATAAGCTGTGTAGTATTGTAAAATCGTACTGTATTTTTCAAGTAATTCAACATAGAAGTTTTATAAAAAAAAAAATTAAAATAAAATAAAATAATGTAGTATAATTAACATACAAATTAAAAACACACATTTTCAGATTCTAAATCTCTAAATTTCTATATAGTAAAATGTATTCACTAATAAAGTAATATAATATTATGATACAGTTTAAACGTGTAAAAATGGAAATAATCAATATTGTTAAGAATGAAAAAAATTATGAAACAAGACATGAAACATAAAATGCAGTGATACAGGGTGGGCACCGTGTTTTCCTGTTATTGCGTAATATATTTGACATTGGAAGTGGCACAGTGGCGCACCCGATACTACTTAAATCTGTTTAAATCATAGCAATAATAAAAACCGAAAAAGTTATCATATTGCTTAAATTTAAAAGATAATATATAATATTGTATTGCTACAATATATTATACTATATTATACTATAGTATCTTATTGAGGCGAACAGGCAATAGCCAAATACGTATATCAGACCTAAATGGCTTGAAACTTAAAATTAATTACAACACATAATTAATAGTATATAATATATAGTTTCAACAGCAATATTTCATTTTAATTACTCGTTGAAATTACCGACGAATGTACAAGAACAATACAGACGATACTGTGACTTAACTTTTAAAACATTGATCGTTGGCTAACAAAATGAACACGATTTCTTGGTCTCCGCATTAGGACCGGAGAGTTTTACGAGTTCTGGTTGGTCAGTTTCGTCGTTGTACTGACCCATCATCGAGTTGATTAAAAACCTTAAAAAAAAACAATACATATTTTAGACAGAGTTTTTGGACGAGGGGGCCGAGAAATTGGCTTACTGCATGGAATCGTTGACCATCAACCCGTCTTTAGCCGAAGTCTCTGTCCAGCCGATAAAATTGTTCTCTTTGTAGAACGCCTCGATATCCAATTGATCGATTTGACGTTGGGGCAAATCGCACTGAAACAATATAATATTATAAAATTTCAATATCTGTACGTATATTACGGCTTACATGTATGTACATTGTACTTATGCTGATAAACCTAACACTGAACATTTAAATACCTACATTAAATCATTATTGTACTTATACAGTTTTACGCATATACGAAGAGAAGATAAAGTTAAAAGTAGATATAATAGGCACACAATATTATCACACGCGTTAAAATTTGCAGTCTGTAATTTTTTCTGCAACATAGTCCGTGATATCGTCATATTGGTATCAAAAATCACATAGGTACGACATGTATATGTTAGCATATTACAAAATGCTAAAGGAATGTATTTGAGTAGATATCTGGTAAATAGCCTGCATAATAGTCTTAATGTGACCAAAATAATTATAATATACAGATTCTCAATACTCAAGCCCTGCAGCTGTAGTTAAAACGGCATCTACTTAATACAGTATAATTTACTTATATAATATACATATGAATTATGATATTACTATTGTCGATACAAAACTTTTCGGTTGATCAAACAACTTGAAAATGTAATAAAACGTACTTTGGTGAAAATTAAAAAAAAAAAGTTGAGAGTAAAGCCACAATAACTTTTTATGAGCGTTTGAAGTCAAAATTCGTCAAAATCAGGAAAATTAGTAAATTATTTCGAATTAGAAATTCAAAAAAATGTTTCCTATTTTTATCCAAGCTTTGAAAATTAAATATAAGATTCCCCTTAAGTTTTCCTAAATTCAACAAAAAAAAAAAAAAATTTACTGAAAAGTAAAACTTATTTTTACGAGCTTTTTAAACTATACATTAGATATTCTCCAGTAAATTAACAAATTTTCATACAACAATTTTTTTATTTTTTAGTTATTCGAAAATTAATAATAGTAGGTAGGTACTTGAAATATTCATCAAATGTTTATTTTATAATTTTCAATACGTGATAAAATTTTCAAAATATTTCGACTCGTTTTGAGTTATTTATAGACATTTAAAATTAAAAATTTTTTAGTTTTTATCTAATAAATGTCAGTAAAATTGTATTTGTTGGGTCAAAAAGCTTGACAATTTAATACAAGTATTATAAAGTTTAAAATGTTAACAAAATGTATCAATATCTCGAAAATTATCAATTATTGTAATTAAAAAATGGTTAATTTTTATAGCTAAAGATTGAAAACAAAGATTTTCATAAATAGTTCATACTGTAACCAAAATCTCTAAAAAATATGTAAGCACAGTTATTTTTACAGACATTTTAAATTCAAATTTTGACGAAATTATACATATTAAAACCAAGAATTACGATTTTAGTTATTTTGTTGTTATTTAAAAAAAACTTTTATTTGTAACCTACTGTACAGCTGAGCGACATCACCTTATCCACTTTTTTTTTTAAATGTGAAGCCACACTTTTTTACTGTAAATTATTACTCAAATAATGTTTTTGGACATTAATTGAAATTAAATTGAAATTTGAATGAGTAGTTTCTGAGTCAATAAACTTTATATAGAATAAGGATAAAAGACCTTCATAATAGGTTTACGAGATATGAGGGTTATAGTTTATGCGAAACAATTATTAAGGACTATTATCCTTATTGTACATTAAGTTTAATTACCTACTCAGAAACTATACTCATTTGAATTTCGATTTAAAAGCTTTAACATTTCTAAAAAATTAAGTACTATAATTTACAGTAAAAAAGTATATGTTCTCATTTGAAAAATGAGTTTATCGTCACGGCCCACAAGATTTTGTTTAAATGGTGTAAAAAAACCAAGTACCTATATAATATTAAATAATTAATACTATGATTAAAAATTTCAAAAATCAGATTTAAATAAATTCAATATTTAAGATCCGTCAAGTAGGCATAGCTCAGTACTGCTGAACAGTAAGTGTCGAGTGTACCTCGTCATTGAGAAAGTCATATTGTAATGGATGTGTTAAATTTTAATTCAATAAAATAAATCATAGTAAGTATACTGATGAAAAATGATTCAGAGTGAAGAAAATCTAATTTTTTGATAAAAAAATAGGCTACGAAACAGTTATTTTAATAATTTTTAAGAATTACTAAGAATTTTCAATTTTGAATTCCCCAAAAGACTTGTAACCATCAAGATTAACCATTGATTTGCTATAGAAAACTCCCTCAAAATTGATGATCGATGTATTTTTTTTACAAGAAAAGGTGTCTTCAGACACACAAATAAAAAAAACACACATCATTGTAAAATCAATACAGTCTTCGCTCCACTTAGAATAGCCAGAATATAAAAAAAAATGAGGTTGAGCATACTTGGTGAATTATTACTCTGTATATTTAACAGTGATTGAGTGTTTATCTTTAGTATCCAGACGACCAGACATATACTTATATGATCGATATTATATTGTAGTGATACGTATAGACAATAATAATAATAGTATGTTTGTATTTCGAAAAGAGCACTTGCATTTTCAATACTAAGATATAGCAAAATATAAAACAATCATTGTTTATTTACAGAAGACAATCGTAATATTATTTTTAACCTCAAAGTGAGACCTATATTGACTATTGAAGCCATAAATGAAAAGAGAAAAGTACAGTTTGATTTTTGTCTTACCAATTTACCATTGCCAACATTATGTCAAACAAGATGATATATATGAATATATGGTAGATGATAAATTATAATAAATATATTTGATATAAATTATAATTATGGTTTTATGTACATATTTTATAGGTATACAAAAATTATATACTTAAACTAATTATATCATTTAGTCAATTTAGATCGGAATTAGATCCAAATTATGAAATACAATTTTGATTATCTATAAAATTATAATAGTTATAACTGAATTAGTGTCTTACACATAATAACATACTATTGTTTTTATAGGTACACTGGTAATTAAAATCTTAAGAATTTTTAATTATTTTTCTTTTCTAATTTTCTAATTATTTTTATTAAAATAAATTAAGACACAAACGATTACTACCTGAATCAACTTTACAATAATATTACGATATTTTTTTAGTATTCTACTAGCTATTAATTATTATGTTATGCTGAAAATAGAATAAAAAATGAAGAAAAATTGTTAATCAATTTTTAAAATATAAAAATGGAGAATTTATTAAATATAAAAAAGGTGTTCATAAATATTATAGGTATATATTTTATGTTCTAAATTAAAACGTCTTTTTATGTATAATTAAAATAATGAATTCAAAACCTATCAAACCATCGATCGGTAGCTTTTATATTTAAAAGAAATAAAACACACAAATCTATTCACACGTATTTATTGGTGTTGATTTTAAAGGAAATAAATAAAAAAACAGAAGTACTACTACTAATTTAATTATATAGGTACGGTTTAATAAAATTTTATAGGTCATAATCCGTCATTACTCATTATCAAGTCACAAAAAGAATAGTATCTTTATGGTAAAAGTAAATGTTAATGGTCGTGTTATATAAAGAAACTGATTACAGAATTCATAGTTATTTATATAATAAGATATTAAGCACTTCTAATATTTATTTAATTTTTTTTTTTAGTCTTAGCTATTTTATGTTCTCCCAAATAAAACACAAAATAAATAGTTCTTTACTTTATAGGAATTATATCTAACATACCTAGGTACTTGTATTAGTAATTAATGTATTACAACAAATGTACTGTACCGTATTGTATTGTATTCGAATTATTATTTTCGCTAATTACTTTTTTTCTAAAATATAATTCGTACAACTGAATTATTTGACTGACAGTTTCCACATAATATACGTAAGTACATCCATTTATATTTTATATTCATTATGTATGTATTATTTGAGATTAGGTACAAAATATTTTGTAATCTATATTAACAGCTATACGTTAAGTTTTTTGTCCTCATTATACTACCAATAACTAATAAGTACATACATTGAAAAACAATTATGTGTTTAGGTCACACATTTTACTTACGTTATCTCCAAACTAATTGACGATAATTACTACTTAACTATTCCTCACACAATTATTAACACTTCACAGCGCCTCTAATATAAATAAACAAACTATAAATATCACATCTCTATACAATGAGTTTAATTTATGGTATTATCTCATAATGCTGCATAGTTTAATACAAAGGAATGTAATTTGTTTATTGATTTAAAAATGAATAATTTACAATGACAACATGTCTATGGAGGACGCCACACACGAGATATTTAAGGTGTTTGCTACAGGCAATTGCAATCAAATGTTACGATTAATTAAAATTTTAAATCTTAAATATATTTAATTACTAATTCAAAGTATTTTAAAAGTGGTCCCATGACAGTACCAACAATGGTTGTTGTATTATAAACCCGGATTATACATAAAAAGGGTTTCGTGCGGAACAAGCTTGCGAGTACCTATACAATTTGAATATTTTACATACATTTTCCCACTACATAGAAAATAACGTTATTTGTGCTGTAGTGTTTATTTTTATTTTTTTAATATCAACGCTATCAATTGTAATAAACAAATGAAAAAAAACAAATCTTTTCCAATGAATGATTGTATTAAAATAAAACACGACACGACATGGATAAAATTATTTTCTTTGTATTGTGAAAATTTAATAAAGCTACCGAGAGTTACAGTCTGTGTAAGTTTTCGTCTTATCGATTTCGACTTATCTGATATGTATACAATATTGCCGTTAAATCATTCTAAAAGTACTAAATAGGTATAGGTACAAAGACCTTTAAGACATAAAATATTTACATGGACACAGTTCTTTAATAATAATTGTAATATTATCGTAATTATTGTGACAAATGAAGCGTTGAAAAATGCCAAATAATCAAATGTTACGTCAATGATGAAAAAAACGTGCTTACTTTATTTCCCAACAACATGCACGGTATGGGACCGCCGTCTACTTGAGTGCATTTTGCATCCACATCTTTTTTCCACTTGAGAGTGTTTAAAAACGAATTCTTATTTGACAAATCAAACATAATCACACATCCATGTGCGTCTTTGTAGTATACGCGGGTCATCCACGTAAACCTCTCTTGACCTAAGCATGTAAAAAATAGTGTAATGATTATACATAAATAGGTAGGTAGTAGGTACATATATTATATTCAAGGTTTACATAAAAACTTGATATCCATACGTAGGCACAGTTAGAGTGACTGACCTGCATTTTAATATATTTCACTTTAAGTTTATTTAATAATTACTAATTATAAGACATCAGTATTTGCATTTTGATATAAATTATAATTTTAAATTTACGCTATACAGCTAAAGCTAAATGTACCCAAATATATAGGTTTTACTATATAAGGTCTATGTATATGAATAGCAATTCCATTGACATTCTTTAGAAAGTTTTTAAAAATACAGCAGCTTTGTTCTCCATTATTGTAATGAGAATTATATGTTACTATGAAAATTAGACCGAATCACACGATATAAGTAACCTGCAGTAGGTAAACATAATTCATATTATATGTAACTAAAGTTATACCACTATATCGATGGCTTAATTCAAAAATGTTGTATGTGAAAAATAATGATTTTTACTGTAGAGCCAATTCAAATTTTTTAATTTTGTATGTTTCACTGAAGAGATTATGTAATAATTAAACCAGTTTCAATAGTTGTACTGCGTTGTTTATTTACCCTATCAATAATATATAAGAACTCTTTATGAATAAAAGATATTTTAAAGTTAAATAAATGAAAACCGTACCTAACACATTTATTAACACACACCCAATATGTCTGGCAAAATATCATAGAGCCATTGGATACAGTGTTATAGATATTTTTAACTTTTAAGGAATGGACAGTTAAAAGTTACATAATAATACAATAATAATTGCATTTGCCATTTCCATTTCTATTGTCCATTTTTTTTTCTTGAGTTTTTATTTTTTTTACCTTATAAGATTCACTGTAACTAAAATTATGTAACTATTGACTTATAACACAACAAATATTATAAATAAAGTCATCTTCAACAACACCCTATTATTTGAACTGTATAGTGTTTATACTATTATTAAACATTATATAAGACCTACAACAAACCTGCAATATCCCATAGTTGTAATTTAATAGTTTCCGTTTCGGAAACTTTGATAATTTTTAATGCGAAATCAACACCAACGGTACCCTTGTACTCTCTGCTGTATGATTTTTGTACATATCGTTTGACAAACGCAGTCTTGCCCACAGTCGGGTCTCCTATTATGATTACTTTGAACAACTTCTCTGGCATTATGGTATCTGAAATTTAAATAATTCAATTAACAAAGTTGAAAGACGTAATTATGCAAAAAGAAAAGATTAGTTTACAAGCGTTATAATAGAATTTGCAACAAATCGTGACAGTTTGAGGTCCCAAAAATCTCGTAACGACCACAAAAACATTCTAGAGGCAAAGGAATAGGTCAATTTTAACGCGATGTTTTCAACAACGTATATCTATAGATGATTTATATACATTTAATATTTTCAAAACCCTCCCATCGTTATTAAAAACTAAGTGGAATTGTTTTCAATGTCTCCTCCACGAATAACAGTCGAAAATAGTCATCGATTTTTTTTCTAAGTCAACAATTCCCGAAAATAATCTATTCAAGTGATATGCAGGCCAAATCGGGACAGTTTTTGTATTAATTATGAAAATTCGAAATTTTTTTTGGATCGAACATAGTTTGCAAAAACTGTGAATACGGCTATACACGTGAGATCGAATGGTGCTCATCTCACGTTGACAGACATGTGCTTGCCAATTGCCTACGCAGTCTATAATAAATAGACTATACCTACTGCTATAGACATTCGGCAATATAATATGGAGTAGGACGATTAATTACTTGGCAGCGTGTTCCAAACTTTTAAGTTACCTATACCTACGGTGTATACAACACGATACACTCGTTTTTTTAATTATCGTCAACACTCTGATTATGTTGCGTAATGACTATAGTGATACATAATATGAATTTGCGTACAAACAACTCTACGAAAGAGATAATATATAACAGCATAATATATTATATAGTACCTCACCGGTTTTGTCTTCGAGCGCACTAAATGCTCCTCTACCCACCACCTACTTAAACGTTAAAACTTACATAACTATTTGAATAAACTAAACGGGAATAATCACTTTAAAATATTTACATAAACAACAATATTATTATATACCTACTATATGTCTATATTATAATCTCAGATTTTTATGTTTTTAATGAAAATAATATTCTGCACCAATTCATAGAAAATTATAACTGATACTAATAATATTATATTCATGGCAAATATTATATAGGTAACGAATCATTTATATTAAATAAATTTAATAATAATTTTAATTTCAAGTAGGTAATCATAATTTCGATTGCATAATCGAATATTTAAATTTTGAATATTAATATTATATTATGTGGGCATTGATTTTTTTATATAAGTAATTCATATAGGTACTATTGACTAGTGATATAAGCAATGACAGCACTATCGTAAAAATGCATCTATCGATAATATTACTTAGACACGGCGTATAAAGCATTATATAATTATGAATATAATATCATCTATGCATAAGCGTAACACATATTTACATATAATATATACGTAATATAGATAATACAGTATTTGCAGTTTAAACAAAAATCAATACAGCTAGACGCTTCTACAGCATTATATTCTGATTTATAATCTAAAGCAGCAGCCTATAGACCAACCAAAAGTTAATAAATGATACATTACAAATTAAAAGTTACAATCAAGTACAGCCATCGATTCGAAAAGCACAATTCTGATACATTTTATCATATAGATGGTTGAATGGTTCTATAATGTATAGAAACCCTGCAGTTATGATTATCGTTATATACATACAATATAAAGTATCTGAATAAGAATAAATAATTCATATAATCAAAGGAACTATATGAACATGATTCATAACATAATACTCATCGTTTCACTTAAAATTAATATGTCTGTAGTTATATTGTCTACTATAGTAGATATTAAATAAATAACTATTTATTTACTTTATTAAACTTATGGATAAATATGAGGTATACCTATCTAAAAAACCAGATACTATAAGTACCCAAAGACATTTAACATATTAGTAATTTCAGTATATATTTAATAAATTCGAAAGTATTAATTCACCCCAACATATTTTTAAGCATATAATATGTACCTCTTAGATGAAAATCACGGATGTCATTCCCGATGTCATAATTTTCGTCTGACGAGCGTGCATTTGGTCTGCGGTAACAATCGTATAATAATTTGTCATGGTCATCCCGATATTTTTTTTCTTCTAAATTTGTGTCGTTGTCATTTACGTACTGAGTCTTTAGCAAAGACATAACATATTCAATTTCTTCCAAAAATAACGAATTTGATCCAATTGTACAGTGCACACTTCAGGAAAAAAAAATGTATTAAGGTAAATTTCATTCAAGTACAGTTAAATAAAACGTTATTTTTTAGAAACAAAAAAAATTTAGATATAATTTTACTGTACATGTACTGTACATGCAATATTCATATACTAGGTAAACATTAAAATATTGATGTACCAACAATTATATACAATAAGTATACTGTAAGCACAACACACTTTAAAGTATTCTAATTATTAATTAATTTCATATGCAAATTGTATTTTAGTAAGTATGTACAAAAAGTAAATTAAATAAGAATATAACATTATATAACATATAAGAAAATAATTTAAGAGTTTTATAATAATATTGTAAGTGTTAACCCAATAATTTTTATATTAACTAAAACGTGCAGTTATGATTGTATTTATTTTGAAAACAAATTAAAAAACTTTAATGCAATTTTATTTAACATGATTTTATAATACCAATGTATGCATTATGTTTGAACAGGTTTTCTTGTTTGTACTGTAATATTTCAAATACGTCGAATATTCGATTTTTTGTACTATACTTTTTTTTTAGACATAACCTACATTATGTAGGTAATGATAGGTAACGCCATTTTTAATATTAGGTATACATATACTTGTGTGTTAACATTTTAAACAACTTAACATTTCAGCCATCAATAGAATTAACACAAAAAAAAAACTAAATTGAATACAAATTATGAACAAATTATGAGTAGCGATGATACTGCAGAGTAAATATAATAAATTATTCATTAGATTCATCTCACTTCATAATTTATATATTTCCATAAATCGGTGTAGTTGTATACTTCTATCGTACCTAATCAGCAAATAGTCAAGTGCAACTTTATAAGTGTCTTTAACGATTCGGATTGAGATCACGTTTGCTGTATAGTATCTAGACATTTTCGAAAATTGATTTAATTTAATGGTATAATTTGTCAATTCTATGGGGATTCTATGCCGATGAATAATTTCAAGTCGGCTGCAATTGCAAAGGCTAAAAATAAATGCAGAACCATAACTCTTAAGAAAATTTAAAATTACTCCATTTCATTAATCGATTATACGACATTTATTGGAGGTATATTATGATCAACTTGAAGAACACTATTTACACCAGAGGAACAAGATTTGACCTCACGATTTGAGTAAAAATTGGTTTTACTGATGGCTAGTTACAGTTAACTCATAATTATACGTACAACAGATAAACTGTCCAACCCAACTGACATAATATATTATATTATATTATCTAGAGACAAGTGATTAGGTATAGTGAATGATAAAGATAGTTCGATAGATGGATATTAAAAACAATTTCATGTGATAGGTATAGACAAAATCCAAGATTATTTAAGTTTATTTTTAAGTTAATTGTAAGCCTTTAGTCTATATAAGCTTTGTTGCCATTTATTTTAAAAATAACTGAAGCTTTCAAGAAATTAAAGTTTTTTTTAAACACGGTCTTGTTTTAAACAAACGAATTTAATAATAAATGGTCTAATAGGGACCCCGATTATAAATCACTGGTTATATGGGGGGAATACCTCGACTAAATTCTAGTTTAGATTGTGTGTGTGTAGAGTATATAATATACTATACATGTATTAAGTATTGACCAAACAGCTTCCGTCAGTCTATTTCCAATTTAAATTTTGAACTGGACACTTTAAGTATAAAATAAAAATTATATCGTGCGTTGACAATGTTCCAAAATATTAAAGAAAATACATTAGCCTTACGAACTCAGAAAATTCATTGTAAAAAATAAAATAAAATGTTTATTAAAATCTCCTTAAATATTTGTAATACTTATTTTTAATTCAAAAATATTCACGATAAGTGCTATAGAATTGTCAAGCTACGTCGTAGATACGTCAATAATTATTATAATAATAAATAATTATTATTTGACACGTAAATTCAGTAACAAAAAGGACTTTAGGTAGGTACTGCGTTTGTATGTCAAACTACGATAAGTGCTTAATAATAATATTGACTGTATTGTATGACTCGGTTTTTACATTATTGGATTATTATATTTACACTTAATAGACAATAATAGATAATTATTATTTATTATGGTTTGGTTATCTTTTTATCGCCTCGATTGTCAACACAGCAGTGATCGACGTTCAGTGTTCACAAATATTATAATAGTTTATCTAAACTGCAATTTGCTACAACGGATAGAACTTTCTAACAGGTGTCAGGTGCTCGCAAGGTACCTTGTTTTCATTTTATTTGGTGTTGCTATCTACAAATTTAAATTTACATTACGAACTTCATACTTTTTGTTACTATTTTTCAGTTATATAAAATGTATATTATTGTTAATTTAGTTATAAAATTACATAAATAAAGATTGAATTTTTTAATTGCCTTTTTCTATGTATTAATCGTTTTAAATTATTGCTTGAAACTTTAAATTTTATATATAATATTCACAATTTATTAAATACTGGGGACACTACCTATTAAATATTCTGGATCCGCAACTGAATTTCCAATGTATCTCCTATAAACTATATGTTTGATAATCTCTATTAATTAACTAATTTTTTTTAAATATAAAAATAATATTATTTTTTGTTTTTTAGTATTTTAAATTTCAACAACAATTTACCTTACCATATGAATCGACATTAGGTATATATAATTAAAACAACAAGGAATTCATTAGATTACCTAATGCCAGGTTACTTTGCCAACAATAATATTACTATAACTTATAAACAATAAACATGACGTGTAAGACAGAAAAATAACTTCATGGAAATGGGTTGTGTAACATTATTTAATATCGCAGTTAGGAAACTCATATACTATATTCTTTGGCGTCCTTAATTATTTCAAATTTACATAATTACAAAATATAAAATAAACACGGAAGACAGAAAGTATTTAAACGACCAATCATCGTTATTTATACATTTTTCTAATCCCATAATTTCTCAACAATGATTGAATACATTGTTAGGCAATGCACAGAGTCAAATATTATGATACATTTTATATTTTTGATTATATTATATGAGTACCTTTCGTATTGAATACTGAAAATATCTTCAACACAAGACATCTATAACTGTTTAATACATAAAATACATTAAATACGTTAAAATTATGTCTAAATTTTATCAAATATTATTTTTATTCCTATGTGTGTTAACATCAAATTTTAATGCATTTAATTTGATTGAATATGTTTTATAACACGCGATTATTAGTAAGTAATGTATATTGGAACCATATTAAATATTAATGTATTTTCCAATAAGCAATAAGTCTGTTTGCTACTTTAAGTTATTATTTTTTCAACATTCATTACAACGAAAATAAATCCCTAAAATCATCATGTACCTACCTACCTACCTACCTACCTATATCAAATAAAATATCAGCTGAACATAATTTTTATCTTATTCGAACCATGCAAAAAAAATTAGAAATATTAAAATATACTTTATGAAATGTATAATAATTTAGTACCTACCTGTATATTAAGTATGGTAGGTACTGTATGATAAGTATACGGTAGGTATACACCGTTTATCAATAAATTAATGCGTTTGTTAATATTCTTATATGGTTAACCGTCAGGCATCCAAGAATTTTTAGTTGTAACTTTATTAATTTACACAAAATCGAGACATTTTTACAGTTTGACATACCTAGTAAATTAGTGTACCTATATACTACATAAAATAATTACATTGAAATTTGTTAATTTTAAGTTTTTAATAACGACTTATGTTGGCATATACTTTTTTATTGACAATTTTTCGAGCAGGAATGTGTTTTAATAGTTCTAAGTAGCTGTATAATTGAATTATGTATGCACTCAGTAATTTATCTGTGTGTATAAGAAAAAACTACAGATAACCGTTAAACATTTTTGGAAAAATCTTAGCAAGTCTGTTTAATCAAGTATCCTCTCAGAATAATTTTTCAAATACAATGATTTATAATTTATTTAAACATATAAATGTGGAAATTGGCCAGAAAACTACGAATGGTTTTACTTCCCCCACCGCTTTGTAGTAAATTCATTTTTCAATTGCTTATGTCTTATGGGTTATGGTAAATAAAATAGATAAAAAATTACTGAAATCTATGGATTTTGGATTTTTTTAATTTGTTAAGACCAAATTTGATAGATCCTGTGGCCAATGTATATATCCATACAGGTACCATACAAAACCAAAAATTAAAATTGTACGTATATTAATATTAGGTACAAAACACACGACATTGATGGAATAAAAAATGTTGAAAACAGGTTGTTATATAACAAGGTTAAAATGTTATGTTTATTACAGGAAACTTATGAAAAGTGTTTATATTTACTTAATTAAAATATAGGCAATAAAAAAAAACTATGCGAACATCATAGTATGCCAATTTAACTACTCAACCTTCTACAAATATCCAAGGTCATATTGCGTATGGGAAAATCTTAATTAAGTAGGAGTGAATACATTTTAGAAAACCAAGAATCAAGACAAATTTAATAAATGTTTACAATAAATTAAATAAACTGTTTGTATTTTATTTGAAGTGTAAAACAAAAATTAACAGCATAATTACTCTCGTATCAGAAATATAATTGCCAACGCAATACCTACATCATTGATTAGACTAATACGTGATTTTAATAGATATATAATAATATAATCTTATAACATAATTGATTTTCTTACAGAGTAGGACGAGTAGGTACACGATAATCTTTTCTCATATGTAAATTCATACTTCTGTTTATTTTAAGTTTCCTATTTATAATTTTTATTTTACTAAGCCTAATACTTCTATAGGAATATTATGGTATTATAGTACTGTATTATTTTAATTGTCAAGTTATCAGATATTATATAAATTACTAGTTTTTTTTTATTAACTAGTAAAAAGTAATTGGAACATTTTATAATACGTCTACATCAT